CCCACCTCAACCCACGGCAAATTCGATGGCTCGATTTCCTCGAGTCGAATTTTCACTATACGGTCACATACAAAAAAGGAGCCTCGAATATCGCCGACGCACTGACCCGCCCCACTGCCCAGATCCACGCGATACTACTCGCCCAGACCAGCCCGCTACTGACAGGCCTATTTACCCACGGATATCAAACTGACCCGTTCTTTACAGGAGGCAACTCACAGCAATTCGCAGCGGCAAAAGGAGTCTATTACGTAAAAACTGGAACCGACCGCATCTGGGTACCAGGATACACGCTACTGCGGGAACTACTGTTACAGAAAGCACACGACGGAGTTACCTCGGGACATTTCGGGGTAGAAAAAACACGGCAGCAGCTGCAGCGGTACTACTACTGGCCAGAAATGTTGACCGATGTGCAACGACACGTGGCATCGTGCCCCACTTGCCAGCTCATGAAGTCAAGCAGGAAGCGGCCGGCGGGACAATTACAACCCATCCCGCCCCCAGAGCGTGCTTGGCAGCAGGTGACGATGGATTTCGTCACGGGGTTACCAGCTGGGGCGAGTGGGAATGACGCGATCCTGGTCGTCGTCGATCGACTAACGAAGATGGCTCATTTCGCAGCATGCAGGAAATCAATCACTGCCGAAGAAACCGCCCGACTATTCATCACCACCGTCGTTCGACTGCACGGGATACCCGCATCGATCATCAGCGACCGAGACACGAAATTTACAAGCAACTTCTGGCGGAACCTGTGGCAGCAGTCCGGCACGCGCTTACAGTTCAGTTCATCCTATCACCCCGAAACCGACGGACAGACGGAACGGACAAACCAGACCATGGAGCAGCTGATTCGAGCCACGTGCGACGATCCGAATACGTGGGAACAGCAACTGCCACTCATCGAGTTCGCATACAATAACGCACCATCAGCCACGACGCAACAGTCACCGTTTTACTTGAATTACGGACAGGACCCAACAGTACCCATGACACCGAATCCCGACAACCCCGTCCCACGAGCACAACAGTTCGCCGAGATCCTGCAAGCAGCACGGACCAGGGCAACAGACGCAATTAAAAAAGCCAACATCATCGCTAAGCGCAACGCCGATCGCCACCGCCGACCAGTCACTTACCAGCCAGACGACCTAGTACTACTCGATACTCAGAACCTCCGCCTGCCCATCACTCCTAAACTTCGCCCCCGATATTGTGGGCCATTTCGCATCAGCCACATGATCACACCCGTCACCGCCCACCTCCTCCTCCCTGCTGTCTGGTACGTCAGCCCGTCATTCCACGTCAGCCTACTTCGCCCTTACATCCCATCCACGAGCCAACTGCCACGCAATCGCCCAGCCAGCATGACACGCCCCCCAACCGAACCAATCATCACCCCTGAAAAAATCCTCAGCCACCGAGTCCGCGACCCCCGGGGAGCCCGAAGGATCGAGCTCCTAATTCGCTGGAAGGACCGAACGCCCACAGAAGATAACTGGGTCCCCCTGGATAAAATCGAGAACCACCCTGTCTTCACCGAGTATCTGCGAAGCCGAAATTTCCGCGACGTTCATGCGCTCTCGTAAGAGGGGCCTCCTTGGGGAGGGGGGTAGTGTAAGGAAAATTCCTTTTCCTTACTTCGCATCCCTGCTCAACGCGTACATCACTGTAGCACCTCAGTCAGCACCGTTACCACTCGCATCGATAATCCGCCCGCCACTTTTCGCATGTCGCACCCCGACCTCACGGCTCGGCGGTAACCCGCGCTCCGGACCTCCGCCTCGACACTTTTCCCAACCTCAGTCCCAGGCCCGTCGCGCGACAACCACAGTCCATTACCGTTACCACTGTAGTTTCGCTATATAATCCTTCGCTCATGCCTTCACTCATTGTATTCTTGCTTCGATAGTGCAATTCTCGTTCGTTCACTCAATTGCACTCGTAACATTCGCTCAAAAATGCCCTGGGGGTTCAAATGTACTACAGACCTTGATTCCTTGGACAAGTTTGTGTGTTGTCGAATCACCTAAGTTTCGCTCGGTTTGTTGTATTTCAACGCGGCCGAGAGCGATAAAGGCTCAATTCTGAGTCACCTTGATTCCTTGGGGAAACTGCTGCCAGCCTCCCTGGATTGATTCGTGCTCCATATTTGTGAAGTGACAAGACCCAGAATCTGGTTCTTCTCTAGCAAAGTTATACGCTGAAGTGCTCGGCTTGTTCCTCTGGTTACCAAGCTGATTCGAGTTCACAATGGCAACGGCGACTGCAAGGCTTTTAGAGGAGATCGTGAGCGTAGGGACAAGATTAGCCGTTCGATTCGACGATGCCAGGAGGGAGTTGGAAGCGGAAAAGCGACCGAGAAGAGAAATCACGGAGGGCTCTGCGCTGACTGATAGATTGGAGAGTTTAGAGACACTTTTGAGAGAAATGAGGGAGGAAAGCAATCAGAGAATAAGCGAACTTAGGAATGAACTAGCAGTTGAGAGGGCTGCAAGGGAGGAGAAGGAAAAGGATGTGGCTGCACTGACAGTGCGACTCTCGCAGGCAGAGGAGTTGCTGTCGCATCAGAAGGACGAAACGTGCAAGATTTGGGAGGTGAGCGGAAACGAATTTTTACTCGTGTTACCTAAACGCGAATACACGATGTTTACTCATCCCAGTTTTAGCGTTTTCTCACGATGTGACGATTTCAGGCGATTTCTCAGCCCCATCAGTCCACAACTGGTGCAGTTGCTCAGGATGAAACTCCGATTTCAAACGACGATAGGGGATCACTTGTGTCTACGTTGGTAGCACAGTCGGCGCAGGTAGTTAAAGCGTTGGAGCAGCAAAAGGAGCAAACGAAGAAGGTATGGAAGGTGAGTAGTCATCTTGTTAGGGGTTTGTGTTGAACATGCGCATCTTTCTGTTTCCCGAGCTAACCTCCAAGGTGCTGATGTTCTCAGGCTATTTATGTGACTTCGAAACAGCGCCCGTATAATGGGCTGACGTGTGCAGATGTGAAGGTAATTGATGCTCATCCTAACACAACGGTACTGGAGCTGAGCTTTGACGATGGGCCAATCAGTGATGTTGGACTTCTTCACCTCCCTTACTTGACATCCCTAAAGAGCTTCAGAATTCCTTATTGCGACAACGTAAGGGCCTTGAGCCACCTCTACGCCATGACATGGCTGGAGGAGCTGAAGCTCGAGTCACATGGTTTTTTCGACAAAAACATTCAGGGAATCGACAATCTGTCAGCTCTCCGCCGACTTGAGCTCATTGGGACGCAGGTTTCAGGTGCTGGGCTTTCCAATTTAAAAAGCCTTGGGTCCCTTAAAGTCCTTGTCCTTTCTCGTGGCCATAATAACTTCTGGTACCATGCCACATATAGCTTCTCATCGGCTGGCATGGAGCACGTGGGGAAGCTGACGAGTCTTGAAGCACTGGATATTGGTCTCTCTAATGTCAGGGACGAAGGGTTGGCCCATCTGGCGCCTCTGTCAAAGCTGACATGCTCAGCCTGCCAGAATACATCACCGACCAGGGCATGGAGCACCTGAAACACTTCGAATTCCTCAAGACCGTCTGGTTGAGGAATTACTTCCAAGATTACCAGCATGCCATCGAGTGCTTGAAGGCCCTTCCATGCCTTGAGAAGGTTGGAGTGCGAGACTGGCAGGCAGCAACAGAGGCTTCAAGGGACCTTCTTAATGTGAAAGTTACTGTCTGCACGGAGTTTGAGCCTTATGGTGGATAGCTCCTGGATCGTTGAAATCATCATCGTTTTTAATAAACAATGCTGTGGGCTTGGAGTGGAGTGACTAGTGGATGGGCGGGAGGTGAGAGTCTGAGGTCAGAATTTAGCCTTAGCATTTTTGGACAAGGCGGACTGCCGGTTAGGGCCGGGAGATTGAGAACACAGATTTGGGGAGACTAGTACGGTTTTTTGTATACTCTTTTACCAGCTACGGTATTTTCTTCGAAATATTTGTCCCGCATGAACTCTATCTCGAAGCCTCTCAAATCACCTTGAAAATCCGAATATATTGTAGAACAATTGAGCACATTCTTGATCTTCCGGTTGCACAAGGGCACTTGCCACGCCTGTCCCTGACCTTTTAGGCACATGTGCAGCACATCATGTGTCCACACACACAAACGCTGCCCTCCTTGGCCTCTCCATGCACACACAGCACTTCCCCTCCTCCCCTCCCCACCCACCCCCTCCTCCCCTCCACTCCCTTCACCAACCGCTTCTGCTGCTCCTGCTCTCTCTCCCATTCGCCTCCCTCCCGCCCCTCCTCTGCACCGCCTGTCCCTGCACCTCTCCTCTTCCTCCTCCTTTGCTTCTTCCCTCGGTCTATTTATCAGAACGTTCCTCCGGCCGGTTGCCCGAAACCCTGATGCATGTGTGTGTGGGTGAGAGCATGGCTCTGGGTTTGTCTGGATGCCACCTGGATTGATGGGCCACCCAGGACTGCGACACCAGAATCCCTGCTAAACTGTCTGTTATAGCAGCCTTTCGTTCCTACCTCCCCCAAACATCTCATACAGGTGCTGCTGCTGAAAACCTCATTGGGACAGACGGTTCAAGATCAAGATGCTGCATATGTGTAACTCTCCAGGTGTGCGTGGTTAATTTTTCTATGGATTGATAGGTCCACCTCTGAGACTCCTCATATATAAGGTGTAACGTAACGTAAGGTGTAACGTAACATAGGGTGTAACACAAGGTGCAAGGCCCCAGAGAATCTCCCCTCCTCCCCAACTCTCCCTCTCCTCTTCTCCCTCTCCGTTTTAGGCTGGAAGAAAGGTTCCGGCCTTTGCCTTGAGCATGATGTGCTTGACTCCAGAAGAGCAACCACTCAAATAGGTTCATTTCGCTGCAAACCCTTCCAACCCCTCCCCTCTCTGCTCTCCCCCCTCCTCTCTTCAGGCTAGAGGAGCGGTCCCGGTGCAAGGCCTTCATCTTGGAGCGTGGTCTGCTGGACCTGAGAAGAGTGGACGGAATGATAAGACTTGAAACGAACACCAGTAGCAGCAGGGGCAGGGAGCAGGACAGGGCAGATGAAAGCAAGAGAGAGGAGGGGCCGGAACGAGGAGTGGGAAGGGACGGCAGAGGTGAAAGGGAGATGGGAGCAGAGGCGGGAGAAGGAGGGGGGAGGAAATCACGGAGGAGTGAAGCGAGGAGGTGCGGGGGAGAGGAGATCAAAGGAGGAGATTGAGATGTTTCTGCATGCGGTGCCGCGTGTTTGCACGGTTTTTCAGTTCACAGGAGCATGAGGGGCTGGTGCAGAGTCTTACCCAGGCGCAGAGACTGCGAGACAGAGTGGCCATGCAGCCGTGCTGCAGGTGAGGCTTGTGGTTTGTTTTGATAGCACCTTGTGGTATTAGCAGTAGCGCTGCTTCAATTTTCCAAGGAGCGCGAGGGTTTTGGTGCAAAGTTTGACTCAGGCACAGAGGCTGCGAGACAAAGTAGCCGTGTTGCAGGTGAGAGCAGTTTGCTTGTAGGATGTGTGGTGGTGGTGTCAGCACTGAAGCAGTAATTTTCAAAGTGGCCAGGTTTGTGCGCTGCGGGAGATGTTTCTACGGGAGATGATCCTGTCATACCCTCGTGTTCCTCTGAGCAGAGGAGCACGAGGGTCTGGCAGATGAAGAATCTGACTCAAGTAGGAGTGATAGACAGAGTGGTGGTGCTACAAGTGAGGCTTGTAGTTTGACTGAAATATCACCTAGTAAGTAAGTAGTGCGAATTTAAGCCATCTGCTGTGAGTATGAACTCTCCACCGCTGCAACCCCGTTGCTGCTGCTGCTGCTGCTGCCATCGCGTGCCTTTCCACCACCTCTTGTTACATGTTCCTGCTCTCGTACCGAGCTCGTGTTTTCTCCCCTCCCTTTCCTTCTTTACTAGTTCCACTCACAGCAACCAGCACAGCACCAAGAGGTCGTACCCATCACCTCATGCTCCATCTTCCCTGCTCCATTGTCACTTTTCCCGCACCCTCTTTGACCACTTGTGCCACCAGCCATAAGCACAGCATCATCAGGAGGTGCCTCAGCTGCTCTTGACATCTCCTCCCACCCCAGGTATGACCTTCTCAGCCAAGCCAAGGTATCATTCCCAGTATATCAATATGTGCCACTATCAACCAATGTTTGATCATGAAGATTATATTCTTCCAAGTTTCAACCATACACATGCCTCCGATACTCCTTTCCATGCTGCCTTCATGTTTTTTTATGTTGTTGTGACTTCCTTGCTCTGCCTCCGCCTCTCTTCTGTTGACTCCTGTTCCCATCTGTCCAGCCCATAAGTTTCAACCAGACCTCTTTCCTTCCTTGCTGCCTCCCTCCCTTCCTCCCTCTGATCCATGCATCCACTTGCCCGTCCTTCGACTTGTGCATGTCTTCCAGATCATGACAAACAACGCCATCCACCCGCATGGAAAACGCCAAACTCTGCCATCTGCTCAAGAGCATGAGCGATGCACGCACTTGCGCCTGCTGCCAGCACACTACCTCCACGCGAAGCAGGTGAGATTCGAGTGCTGGGTCACCACCTTAGTGTGCTATTAAGTAGACTAATGTGTGTGTGTGTGGGTGTGTGTGTGTGTTTGTCTGTCTCTGTCTCTGTGTCTCTGTCTCTGTGTCTGTGTCTGTGTATCTGTGTCTGTGTGTGTGTGTGTGTGTGTGTTGTGTGTGTGTGTTGTGTGTGTGTCTGTGTGTGTGCCCCTCTCCTCCCCCTCCCCTCTCGCCCCCCCTCCCCTCTCCTCCCCCCTCCCCTCTTCCTCCCCCCCCCACTCCCCTCCCACAGGTCATCCTACAGCAAGCAGCGCTGTCAGGGGGAGCCATCTCACGAGCAGCGGTGAACCGAATCTTCCGCCTGCCCCCTGCCACCACTTTTCAGACTCCTTCTGGGTGCTGGCTGGATAGCTAACGCCGGGGGAGGCAGTGCTGGTGGGGGGATGGGAGGGGCGATGGGAGGGGGGATGGTGAAGCAGGAAAGAAAGTGAGTCCATGCTCTCCCCAGCCATTACTGATGGCAGGCTCTTGCTAGGGGTTAGCTGAAGCTATGCTATGTAGGTAGAGAGGTGTAGACCGATCTGGCCTTGTACAACAATGCGTGGTTCGACAATATCTGGCATGTGATGTTGTGGGCGAAGAACGGTCTAGCCCGTGAATAGTGTGGGACGTATGGTATGGAAATTGAGAATGTCAATTCCATTCATTTAATTATCTATAGTTTTAGACTTGATTGCTTTGACATTCATTTGTGAAACACTAGCGCACAACGAATCACCAGATCTGAGGTACATGTCGTAGGGTACCAGTCATGCTTATCACCCTCACAGTTCACGCCTAGTTCACGCCCTCCTCGCGCCTAACGAGGAGTGACGATGACCAATCCGGCGAGACAGATTTCTCGCACGCATTGCAAGTGTGTGCAGGCTACAGAAATCTTCACAAAGTTTGCACGGGTCGTCGCGACGCCGATGGAGGACATGCGCGGAGGGTGCAGCGATCAGGCGGGACGGGGAAGTGGGCTCGCGTCCCGACGTGCCCCATCTGGCGGATGGCGACGTCTACGTCGCGAGCAAAGTAGACTGACGTCGAGAGGACACAAAGACCCGAGGAGATCTACCAACATCCCAGAGGGTTAGGGTCAAAAGTTAGTGTCCAGATTCCGTGGTAGTTGTTTTGCTGATCGTTCTTTCTCACAAAACGCGTCGGCTCCTCGTTATCACAATCGGAGCCGAGTTCAGAATGATGATGGCGACGGCAAGGCTTTTGGAGGAGCTTTTGTGTCAGAACATTAGAGCTCATACTTTTGTGTAGGCTGTAGTGGGGTATCCCATAGGGGGTAAAACCCAATTAGGGTTAGTACTTGTACCCACTTCATTCATAGTTGATTCATTCTCGTTTCTTCTCATGGTATCGAGCAGGTTCCCTCGTGGGAACTGATCCTAGGGCCCACCATCGAAATTTTTTTTTTCCTGCCCTAAGCGCGCTCTGCTTAGGCCCGAGTCGCGCCTCGGGTCCTCTCTCTACTGTCGCGGCCTCCCTCGAGCCGCCCTTACTCGGCCCGTCGCCACCCTACGCGGCCCGCCCGCCGCCCTTTGGACGCCCGTCCCGACCACGTGCGCCGCCCATCGACGCCCGTCCCGGCCCCGTGCGCCGCTCGTCCCGGCCCCTCGCCGCCTGTACCGGCCCGTGCGCCGCCTGTCCCGGCCCCTCGCCGTCTGTACCGGCCAGCCGCCGCCCGACGCGGCCCGTGCGCCACCTGTCCCGGCTTGTTGCCGCCCGACGCGGCCCGCGCGTCGCCTGTCCCGGCCCGTCGCCGCCCGACGCGGCCCGCGCGCCGCCTGTCCCGGCCCGTCGCCGCCCGACGCGAACCCTGCGCCGCCTCTCTCAGCCCGTCGCCGCCCGTCCCGTAGCCGCCCGGCCCGTCGCCGCCTGTACCGGCCCGTCACCGCCCTTTGCGGCGTCACGTGCCACCCTACCCTACATGCGGCCCCGCCGCCCTACCTTAGCGGACCCGCCGCCTCACTCAGCGGCCCCACCGCCCTACCTGCGGCCCCGCCGCCTCACTCTCGGCCCCGTCACCTGCTACAGCGCCGCCGTACCACCCTAGCCGCCCGTGCCGTCTCACCCGGCCGAGCTGCCGACCGCCGCGCCGTCCTACAGCAGCACAACCGAGCCGCCCGGCAGCAGAGCAGCCGAGCCGCCCAGCAGCCGAGCCGCCCAACAGCAAAGCCGCCGAGCCGCCCAGCAGCCGAGCCGCCGAGCCGCCGAGCCGCCCAGCAGCCGAGCCACCGAGCAGTCGAGCCGCCGAGCCGCCCTACTTCCGGGCCGCCCGACCTGCCCAGTCTGGTGAGCACAGCGCCTTTTCACTGCACTGCCCTCACCCTACTGTTTGCACTGCTAGTCGTCTAGGGTCATGGCTACCCCTAGTGTCCTCGCCTTTGACGCTGAGGGTCGGGCCATTGACTTTGAGGTCTGGGTAGATGACCTGCAGCTGTTCTTACAGTGCGATAGGGCAGACGGCCTCTCTCTCTTTGACCTCACCTTTGGCGCTTCCCCTGCCCCTGCTGCTGATGCTGACGCCACTGTTTGCTCCCAGTGGGCCACCCGCGACGCTGCTGCACGTCTTGCTGTGCGTCGCCACCTCCCTACCTCTGAGCGTGCGCACTTTAGTCAGTACAAGAGTGCTCAGACCTTGTACGACGCTGTAGTCGCGCGCTACTCTTCCCCTGCCACTGCTGCACTGAGCCGTCTCATGCTACCGTACCTCTTTCCTGACCTAGCTGCCTTTCCCACTGTAGCTGACCTCATTACGCACCTCCGCACTAGTGACACTCGCTACCGCGCTGCACTTCCTGTTGACTTCTGCGCCAAGAATCCTACCCCCCATGTACATCACTCTCTACTACATAGTCACTCGCCTTCCTGACTCCCTTTGTGTAGTCAGGGATCACTTCCTCTCAGTCTGTCCCACCACTCTCACTGTCGACCTCCTCGAGAAGGCCCTCCTAGCGATAGAGAAGAGCATAGTTGCTGTAGGAGCCTCTCGAGGTGACCCGCGGACCCCCATCTTTGAGGGGTGTTCCCCCTCCCCCCTTCTGCCCTCTGTTGCCTCTGCTGCTGCGGCCGACCTCCTTGGTCTTGAGTCGGTCGGTGCGGCGTCTGCCCCTCGCGGGAGACGCCGCCCTGGCAAGGGCAAGGGGGGCAAGGGCGCTAGAGGAGCGAGCGGGGGCGGTGGAGGTGGAGGTGGCGGCGGTGGGGGGAGTTGGGGTGGCGGTGGGAGTGGAGGTGGGGGTGGAGGGGTCGGTGGCGGAAGTGGAGGCGGAGGTGGTGGCGGCAGTGGCGGTGGGAGCGGAGGTGGCGGAGGTGGTGGCGGTGGAGGCAGAGGCGGAGGTGGCGGCAGTAGCGGAGGAGGCGGAGGCGGCGGAGGCGGCGGGGGTGGGGGTGGTGCTGGTCGCTGGTCTTCGCAGAGGAGTGGCTCCGGTGGTGGCTCGCGCCAGCAGCAGCAGCGCGGTCGTGAGACCCTCTCTCCTCAGTAGCTTCGTGAGTGGTACACTGCGCGTCAGCGGGGTGGGGGTTTTGGTCCGTGCTCGTACGTTTTGCGCACCGGCGACCGTGCGGGTGAGCAGTGTGGGGGTGCACACCCCACCATGTGCTGCTTTGGCCGCCTGACGGACGCGTGGCGTCACCAGTTCCCGGAGGCCTCAAAGATCCCTCGCTTGGGCGAGCTGTCTAGGGCGGGTGTTGCCATCTGTGATCTTGACTTTGATGCTATTCTCTCTGCCATGTATGCTGTGTCTATTAGTGATGAGGGTGACTGTTACCGGTGTTTCCCGCCCGATCCGGGCATTGAGACTGCTGCTCTAGGTACTGGTGAGGCTGCTGCCCTAGGTGCTTGCGACGCTGCTGCTCTAGGTGCTAGTGTGTCTGCGTCCTCAGGTACTGGTGCGTCTGCGCTCTCAGGTACTACGTCGGCTTCGGCCTCCCTCACCTTCACCCTTGACTCTGGGGCGTCTCTCTCCTTCTTTCGGGACCGCACCACACTCACACCGTTGAGTCGGCCGGTTGCAGTGTCTCTGGCTGACCCCTCTGGGGGTCCTGTCCTGTCTCGCTTCTCCACAGTCCTCCCGTGTCCGGCGGCTCCCTCTGGCACCCTGTCTGGTCTCTACCTCCCCTCGTTCTCTACGAACCTGGTGAGTGGTGCTGACCTACAGGATGCGGGTGTCCACCAGTTCACTCCTGCGTGTCAGCGGGTGACGCACTGTACTAAGGCTAGCATAGGCCGGCACCTGGCTACATTTACCCGTCAGCCGGGGTCGAGCCTGTACACACTGACTACTGCGTCTCCTCCAGTTATTGAGTCTGGTAGAGTCGCTTCATCGGGGCAGGTGTTTGTTGCAGCGTCCAGGTCCGGTCCTGAGTCTGCCCCCTGTTCGTGTCGTCTCCTATCTCACGAGACTCTCCTCCGGCACCACCGTCTTGGTCACCCCTCTCTGCTTCGGCTCAGAGGCATGGCCTCCCGTCTTCTAGTGTCTGGTCTCCCCCGGTCCCTCCCTCCCCTTCCTCACGGCCCTGGCCCTACCTGTGTCCCCTGTGTCGAGGGGCGCCAGCGTGCTACCCCTCACTCCTTCCAGTTTCCTCCGTCAGAGGCCCCTTTGCAAACGCTTCACATGGACGTGTGGGGTCCAGCCCGCGTCCGTGGGCAAGGTCACGAGCGCTACTTTCTGCTCGTTGTTGACGACTACTCGCGTTACACCGCAGTCTTCCCCTTGCGCAGAAAGGGTGATGTCACTGAGGTGCTAATCGACTGGATCCGCGCAGCTCGTCTCCAGCTCAGGCAGAGCTTTGGCTCGGACTTTCCTGTTCTGCGTCTGCACTCGGACAGAGGCGGAGAGTTTTCCTCTGGCCTTCTGCGAGCCTACTGTCGTGCACGAGGCATCCGTCAGACCTTCACGCTTCCGAACTCTCCGCAGCAAAATGGGATTGCTGAGCGCCGCATTGGCATGGTCATGGACGTCGCTCGTACGTCCATGATGCATGCGGCTGCCCCCCATTTTCTATGGCCGTTTGCGGTCAGGTACGCGGCGCATCAGATCAACCTTCACCCCAGGGTCTCCAGACCGGAGACCTCCCCAGCCTTGCTGTGGACGGGAAGGTTGGCGATGCGTCTGCGTTCCGGGTCTGGGGATCTCGGGCGTTTGTCCGCGACTTGTCTGCGGACAAGCTGTCCCCTCGCGCTGCTCCCTGCGTCTTCCTGGGGTTCCCCCCTGACAAGCCTGGGTGGCAGTTTTACCACCCTACCTCTCGCCGTGTTCTGTCCTCCCAGGACGTCACGTTCGACGAGTCGGTCCCCTACTACCGCCTCTTCCCCTACCGCACTCCGTCCCTCCCCCTGCCCCCGCTCTTCCTTGTACCAGGTCCCCCCCAGGTAGACCCCCTCCCCCCTCAGGGTCGTGCCCCTTCAGGCGTGTCCCAGGTAGACGTTGTCGAGCCTGTCGAGGTCACTAGTGACTCTGGTGCTGCTGAGGGTGCTGAGCCTGGGGGTGCTGAGCTTGGGGGTGCGGAGCCTAGGGGTGCTGAGCCTAGGGGTGCTGAGCCTGGGGGTGCTACGTCTTGGGGTGCTGAGCCTAAGGGTGCTGAGCGTGGGGGTGCTGAGCCTGGGGGTGCTGAGCCTGGGGGTGCTGAGCCTGGGGGTACTACGCCTGGGGGTGCTTTGCCGGGGGGTGCTGGGCCTGATGTGCTGAGCCTGGAGCTGCTCCGCCTGGAGGTTCTCCGGGTGGTTCGTCTCGTCGGGAGACACTCTCTCCACAGGAGCAGCGCGAGTGGTTTGCCCGGCGCTGGAGCCGTGCTACTGGTGCTGGAGGTTCTTCGACTACTGAGGGTGCTGCTGTCGCGGGTCCCGGAGGTGCTCGTACTGGGAGTCCTGGAGCTGCTGGGCCTGCAGGTTCGACTGGAGCTGGTGCTGTTGAGGGTGTTGGCGCTGAGCCTACCACTCGCGGTCCTGCTAGGGGTGATCCTGGTGCTGCTGGAGGTGCTGCTCGAGTGGGTGCTCCTGCTGGGGGTACTGGTGCTGTCCCTGCTGTTTCTGGCGTCGCCACGCAGCCTCGACCGTACTTCGTTCCACTCCTGCAGCAGGTTCTTGGTCTTCCACCTTCTACTGGTCCTCCTCCTCCCTTAGAGGGTCCACAGCCTGTCCCGTCGTAGTCACATCTACAGCCTACCTCCCCTTTGCCTGCTCCTTCTCCCTACGCTGGTCCTAGTAGAGGTCTTACTGAGCGTCGTGAGCGTGCGTCTCGCCCTACGTCGCCTGTCCGTCCTGCTCGCGCTAGTGGTTGTGGTTCGCGTCTGCGTCCTCCTCCTGTCCCTGGCACACACAGGATGTCTCTGCGTCCGTCTACCGCTCCTCTGCGTGCCCCTTTGCCTTCTCCTCCTTAGTCTTCTCTTCCTGCTCTTGCCGACCCGGAGTCGGACTCTCTTCGTGCTGCCAGTCCTACTGTCACGCGTCTCCTTGCTACTGTTGTCACTGACCCTTCTTTCGAGTCCACTACTGCGTCTGCCCTAGTTGCTGAGCTCGTCGACTTTGCTGCTCGCCGTCGCCTAGACTACGCTGCTAGTCTTGTCGCTGAGTCTGAGTCTGTCTATCCTCCGTCCGTTGGGGGTGAGTGTGCCCTTGGCACGGACGTCCTTGAGGACAGGCACGAGGAGTTCCAGTGTCTGGCTGCTGCTTCACCTCATCTCGTGTTCGTACTGCTTACCCCTTAGGGAGACCCGGATGCACTTGACATCCCGACTCCGCGCTCTTACGCGGAGGCGATAGAGGGTCCCTACTCCTCTCAGTGGCAAGCAGCTGTGGATGCAGAGATGGCTTCGTGGAAGTCTACAGGCACCTACGTTGACGCGGTTCCCCCTCCTGGGGCGAACATCGTTAGTGGCATGTGGATCTTCAGGGTGAAGCGGCCGCCGGGTTCTCCTCCTGTCTTCAAGGCGCCTTACGTTGCTCGTGGCTTCAGTCAGCGGCAGGGAGTTGACTACTTTCAGACCTTCTCCCCCACCCCGAAGATGACCACTCTTCGGGTACTGCTGCACGTTGCTGCTCACCGTGACTACGAGCTGCACTCCCTCGACTTCAGCACTGCTTTCTTGCAGGGCAGCCTGCACGAGGAGATCTGGCTGCGCCGCCCACCTGGCTTCACTGGGTCTTTCCCTCCTGGTACCCAGTGGAGTCTCCGGCATCCAGTCTACGGTCTCTGCCAGGCACCAGGTGAGTGGCACGACACACTGAGGACTACACTTGCGGCTCTTGGGTTTGCTCCTTCTACTGCCGACCCGTCGCTGTTTCAGCACACCGACACCTCTCTGCCGCCGTTCTACATCCTCGTGTACGTCGATGACTTGGTCTTTGCCACAGCTGACACTGCTGGACTCGCCTACGTGAAGTCCGAGCTGCAGAAGAGACACACGTGCACTGACCTGGGTGAACTGCGCAGCTACCTTGGCTTCCAGATCACCCGGGACAGAGCACGCCGCACCATTACCCTGACTCAGTCACACATGGTGCAGCAGGTCCTTCAGCGCTTCAACTTCACGTACTCCTCGCCTCAGGCCACTCCTCTGGCTACTCGCCACTCACTCTCAGCTCTGCCTTCAGATGAGTCCGTAGAGTCGAGTGGCCCGTATCCAGAGCTTGTTGGCTGCCTCATGTACGTGATGACCTGCACACGACCTGACCTTGCATACCCTCTTAGCATTCTTGCACGCTATGTTGCTCTTGGGAGACACAGACCAGAGCACATGGCTGCAGCGAAGAGGGTGTTGCGCTACTTGTGCAGTACGTCGCGCATGGGGCTAGTGCTTGGAGGACGGAGTCCAGTGGTCCTCACAGGGCACGCGGACGCTTCTTGGGCTGACGACCAGGCTACGCAGCGGTCGTCACAGGGTTACACCTTCAGCCTCGGTTCTTGCTCTGTTTCGTGGCGGGCTACTCGCTCGTCTTCTGTTCTCGGTTCTAGTTGTGAGGCTGAGATCTACGCCGGGGCCATGGCTGCACAGGAGCTTCGCTGGCTCACCTATCTGCTGACCGACCTTGGAGAGCCGCCTTGTTCTCCTCCTGTCCTGTACGTAGACAACAAGGCCATGCTGGCCTTGTGTCGAGAGCAGAGACTGGAGCACCGAACAAAGCACATTGCTCTTTGTTACTTCCTTGCTCGTGAGCTACAGCAGCGTGGTCAGTTGCGGCTTGCGTACGTGGCCTCTGAGGCCAACACTTCTGATGTTTTCACCAAGGCACTTCCGCCTTGTGATCATCAGCGCTTCTGCACTCAGCTGGGTCTTGTCCCTGTCTTGCCTCACTTGCTCACCCCTTGACCTTGTTTGTACTGTTACATATATATATACCTGCTCTTGCTTGTGTAGTCTTATATATATATGTACTCCTGCATGTGAACTGGTCTTGTGGCCTTGAAGTTGTGCTCCGAATGTGTGGTGACGTTGTGATCCACCCTGAGCTTGCTTTGCTTTGCTTTGCTTGACCGGTCTTGTGACCCCTTGTTCTCCCCCACTTATCCTATGGGGGTGTGTCAGAACATTATAGATTAAACTTTTGTGTAGGCTATAGTTGGGTATCCCATAGGGGGTACAACCTAATTAGGGTTAGTACTTGTACCCACTTCATTCATAGTTGATTCATTCTCGTTTCTTCTCATTTTGAGCGTAGGAACGAAATTAGCGGTTCGATTCAAGGATGCAAAGAGGGAGTTGGAAGCGGAACAGCGACAGAGAGAACAGCACGAAGAGCCTGATGCTGACTGATAGATTGCAGAATCTGGAAACGTTTTTGAGAAAAATGAGGGAGGAGAAAGATAAGAAGATTAACAAACTTAAGAATGAGTTTGCAGGTGAGAAGGCTGCAAGGAAAAAGGAGGTGGCTTCACTGACAGTGCGACTCTCGCAGGCAGAGGAATCGCTGTTGCGTCAGAAAGAAGAAACGAGCAAGATATGGGAGGTGAGCGAGAAAGTTTCTTCAAGCGTGTTAGCCTTAAATGAATTATGTGATCTTTACTCACTTCAGTTCTAGCGTTTTCTCACAATGTGCTGCTTGCAGGCGGTTTCTCGGGCTTCGTGCCAGTCGCCGACAAGTGTAATTGCTCAGGATGAAGCAGCACGCGTTTGAAGAGACGAAATGGAATCACTTGTGTCTACATCGGTAGCACAATTGGCACAAGCAGTAAAAACGCTGGTGCAGCAGAAGGAGGAAGCGAAGGACTGGGAGGTGAGATCTTGATAAGAAGTGGCGTTTGACGTTGCACATTTCTTTCGGTATGGTGTTCGAAAGTATGGTGTTCTGATTGATTTATGTGACTTCGAAGCAGCGACCGACCAATGCAGATTTGAAGGCCAGATATTCTCCTGCTCACACAACGGTACTTGCGCTGAGCACGAACAATGATCCTGGACTTCTTCACCCCCCTTATTTGACATCCCTGAAGAAGAGCCTCATGACTAGGCTTCAGGCCCCTTTACACCATGACATGTCTAGAGGAGCTGGATCTTGAATGATATCACAGCTTTGCTGATTCATGGGTCGACTCAAAAGAGCTGGATCTTGAATGATATCACAACTTTGCTGATTCATGAGTCGACTCAAAAGAGCTGGATCTTGAATGATATCACAACTTTGCTTATTCATGAGTCGACTCAAAAGAGCTGGATCTTGAATGATATCACAACTTTGCTGATTCATGAGTCGACTCAAAAGAGCTGGATCTTGAATGATATCACAACTTTGCTGATTCATGAGTCGACTCAAAAGAGCTGGATCTTGAATGATATCACAACTTTGCTGATTCATGAGTCGACTCAAAAGAGCTGGATCTTGAATGATATCACAACTTTGCTGATTCATGGGTCGACTCAAAAGAGCTGGATCTTGAATGATATCACAACTTTGCTGATTCATGGGTCGACTCAAAAGAGTTGGATCTTGAATGATATCACAACTTTGCTGATTCATGGGTCGACTCAAAAGAGCAGGATCTTGAATGATATCACAACTTTGCTGATTCATCAGTTCTGAATATCAGCAATCTGATGGCTCTCCGTTGAACTGATCGAGCCATGGTGCACGTGAGAAAGCTGACAAACCTTGAGGCACTGGATATCAGTTTGAGAAATGCTAGGGACGATGGTTTACCCCATCTTGGTAAATGAGTAAGGCAATGAGTGAGGCAACGAGTGAGGCAACGAGTAAGGCATTGAGGAAGGCACTGAGAAAGGCAGTGAGTGAGGCAGTGAGTGAGGCAACAAGTGAGGCAGTGAGAAAGGCAGTGAGAAAGGCAGTGAGAAAGGCAGTGAGTGAGGCAGTGAGGGAGTGAGTGAGGCAGTGAGTGAGGCAGTGAGAAAGGCAGTAAGGCAGTGAGAAAGGCAGTACATACGTGAAAGGCATTGCAGGTAAGGTCGACCTTGCTCAGGACCTCAGGGTGGGTGTGGCAGTAGCATTCCTTTCCCTCCCCCACAATTCCTTCTATCCTGTCAGCATGTGCCTTGCTCCTCTGCTCCCTCTCCAGCTGTGGCTGCAGCTTGAGCATGAGGAGGAGTGCAAGCAAAGAAAAGGGTTGTAACATTTGCCTCACCATGGATCCCTTTGCCTGACTCTTGTGTGTACTTGCTTCCAATCTCCCGCACCCACGCCCCAGGCGCAGTTGAAGCAGAAGCAGGAGGAGCGAAAGCGCAAGGAGAAGAAGGAGGTTGAGGCCCACCTGCTCACGGTCATCAAGGTGTCGCGAGACAAGGACCTGTGGGAGCAGATTGGCAGCGACCGCTTCTTTGACCTTGTGGACCACGAGCGCGTGACGAGCTTCCGCGTGCCGAAACAGATGTGCTTTGCGGACTTCCAGAGGGAGGTGGAGAGGAAGGTTGGCGTTCCAGTGGCAGGCCAGCGGTTTTGGCTGTGGGCGCGTCGGCAGAACCACACGTACCGCCCCAAGCAGCCGCTTAGTGCCGAAGAAGAGGGCATGACGGTGAGAGGGACGGAAGGTGGGGGAACGGGGAGGGGGCGATGGAAGCGGAGAAAGAGTGAGAGTAAATAGCGTTCATTACACTCTGTTCGGCCCCTTCCTCGCCTGATTTCCCTCCGCTCTAGTCTCTTACACTCTGTTCGGTCTACCAAGATGGGCCAGCTGAGGGACTTAATGTGCGGGGCACACGCAATGGACCTGCGTCTGCTCTCTCAACTTTTTCCAACCCCTTTCTCTCCTTATCCTTTCGTCTCTTTCCCTTCTCTCACTCGCCTCCTCTTTCAGGTGCGACAGCTGAGGGACTCAGTGAGCAAGGCGCACCGCAAGGACCTGCGTGTGTTCCTAGAAGGCCCGCCAACTCCTCCTGTAGGTCCTCTCACCCCCTCGTTGCTGCATTTCAATTCCTCATGAGGCTACTTGTGAGGCGCCTCGTTCCCCTTCCCTTACCTGTAACCCGATCTCGCCACGACCATACAGACGACATTCCTTCCTTTACTCTCCCCACCCTGCTCACGCACTCCCTCCCTCCTGTTTATTAAAGTCCTCCTTGTCCCAGTCCCTACCTCCCACCCTTCGTTAACCTGACCTGACTGCACCGGGCCAGCCATTACTTGATCCTTCAACCCCCCACCCGCACCCGTACCCTGGAAGCTGACTGGATCAAGACCCAGTGTCCATTGCTTTCGAGGTGACTATCTAAGTCGATGCAAGAGTCACCAACCCACCCATTTCCTCCTTCCTTTGTAACATCTCTAAACCAGAACCGGCCAGTGGCTCCGCTACATGAGAGGGCCAAGGACGACATTCTGCTCTTTCTCAAGTTCTACAACCCACTCACTGAGACGCTTAGGTGAGAGACACTTGGATGAGATGCTTTGGTGAGAGATGCTTGGGTGATTCATGCTTAGGTGAGAGATGCTTTGGTGAGAGATGCTTGGGTGAGTCATGCTTAGGTGAGAGATGCTTTGGTGAGAGATGCTTGGGTGATTCATGCTTAGGTGAGAGATGCTTTGGTGAGAGATGCCTGGGTGAGTCATGCTTTGGTGAGAGATGCTTAGGTGAGTCATGCTTAGGTGAGTGATGCTTAGGCGAGAGATGCTTTGGTGAGAGATGCCTGGGTGAGTCAAGCTTAGGTGAGAGATGCTTTGGTGAGAGATGCTTAGGTGAGTCATGCTTAGGTGAGTGATGCTTAGGTGTGAGGCGTTCTTAGGAGGATGGTCAGTTTGGAAAGCAGGGGTGTAATGCAGGCTTGGAAAACACCTCCTCCTCCAATCCTCCTCTCCCCACCTGCTCCTCTCTCCCTATTCCCTCTCCACCCTCTTCCTTTGGAGGAGATTGGGTTGTCTGATTGTGAAGCCTGGGAAACCCTTGCCACACCTTCCGACGCATTTCTTACATGTCTTAAATATCGCTTTTTCCCTGTTCACACTCTTTCCCTAACCTCCCTCCTCTCCCCTTTCTCCTTTTTCCCTCCCACCCACCTCACAGTGCAGGCATGTCAGTTCGTGAAGCTCGTCAAGAAAGCACTTTTTGATGCGGATTTTCACGCGTCCGGAATGTAAAATCTTACCCTGTTCCTCTCTCCTTCCTCTCCCTTTCTACTGCAGGTACGTGGGTCGTCTCTTTGTGAATCTTGGGCAGGCTCCTGCCGATGTACGAGGGAAGATCAACGAGATGTGTGGCCTTGCTCCCACCGATGACATCCTGCTCTTTGAGGTGCGTGTGGGGCAAAGAGGGAGGGGGGGGGGGCTGGTAGTACTGTTGGTACTGAGTGCTGAGTCGGTTCAAGAGGGAAGGTCAACGAGATGTGTGGCCTTGCTCCTCACACACAACATTTTGCCAATAGTTGTGCTGCATTTGCCAAAAATTGGAGCACTCATAGCCCAGGAAACTCAGCCGTCTCCCCTTCCCCTCCCCCCTTCCCTCCTCCTCCAACACCCCAGGAGATAAAGTATGAGCCGAGTGTGATGTGCGAGGCCATGGACTGCACGGTCACATTCAAAGGCGGGCAACTAGACGATGGCGACATTATCTGTGTGCAGCGCGCCAAACAACTCGCCCAAGAGGGTGCGGTTGGGACTGCCGGCAGTGGTGGGAGTGCGGTGAGGGTGAGGTACCCTGACGTGCCGTCCTTTTTGGAGTATGTGCGGAACCGGCATGTGGTGCACTTCCGGCGGCTGGAGAAGCCCACAGAGGACGCTTTCTGCCTCGAGCTGTGAGTTCCCAACCTCCGAATGAGCTCCCACCTGAGTGTGCCCTAGTAGTCTGATATCTTGTGAGGTGGGTCACTCTCTTGTGGGGTGTGCTGTGCAACGGGCAGGTGGTGCATTTGTGGCACGTGGAAAAGCCCATGGAGCTGTGAGTGAATTGCTTATGATTGTACCGTAGTGTAGTGTGCCTGAGTTTCAGGTATAAGATGGTGCCACTTTCTCTTTCCTGGAGTAGGATTAGGTGCACATCCAGCGGCATGTGGTGCACTTCAAACGCCTAGAGAATCTCAAAGAATCAAAGATGACGCCTTGTGCCTCGAGCTGTGCGTCCAAAATAGAGGTGGGTGTTGATTTTTTTTTTTCTCAACGCCTTCTTCTTGTTGCAGCCCAAGCTGGACAAACCTGAAGGTGGGCATCCTCTGCCTCGTGCTGTCTGTGAGTGCTCAGTGCCGTTGGGTCTCCCACTGACATGGTGGTGAGGTGAGTCGGTGACAAGGCTGGTAGAGGAGCTAGGGCTTTACGTCTCATCCGAGACCCACCACTCACACCAGGCTCCATACCCTCTCCTTCCTCCACCATCCTTCCTGCGGCAACAAGCAGCACGCGTATGAAGTTGTGGTGGTGAGGCTAGCAGAGGACCCTTCCAAGATCCGCCTCACCATGCGCAGATGCAACTCAACCTAAGCCGCCTCTTGTCAAGCTCGCCCTTCTGTGTTGCTCTGCTCCCTCTCCCTCCCCCTCTCCCTCTCCCTCTCCCTCTCCCTCTCCCTCTCCCTCTCCCTCTTCCTCTCCCTCTCTCCCCGGCAGCTCCAAAGAGCACACGTATGACGACGTGGTGGCGAGGCTGGCAGAGGAGATAGGCCTGGACAACCCTTCCAAGGTCCGACTCACCACGCACAACTGCTACTCGCAGAAGCCCAAGCCGCCGGCCATCAAATACCGAGGCGTGGACTGCCTGGCTGACATGCTCGTGCACTACGACCAGGTGAGGAGAAGGGGAAGGATTAGCATATGGATTGTGTCTGGGGTAGGTTTACCGAGATTCTAACTCACTGCAGCCGGCCGTCAAGTACCGAGGCGTGGACTGCCTGACCAACATGCTCGTGCACTTCAACCAGATGTGGGTGGGGGGAAGAAGAATTGGCATATGGGGTGCGTGTGGGCTAGGTTTACCGACTCTCTAACTCAATGCCACCCTCCCATCAAGTACCAAGGCACGGACTGCCTAGTTGACATGCTTGTGCACTACAGCCATGTAGGGGTATAAAGGACGGGAGGAAGGGGGGCTTGGTGAGGTACATCGTTTGGGTTTGGTTTATGGGGTAAGGGTTATGGGTGTCATTATGCACAACTGTCACCCGCAGAAGCCCAAGCCCCACTGACCGCCCATCAAGTACGAAGGCGTGGACAGCACATGCTCATCTTCGTAAATTCCCCGAATCCCCCTCCATTAGTCCCCTTTGTCTTGCAGTCCTCTGATATCCTCTACTTCGATACACTCAACATCCCTCAGCATTAGCTGGGCCTAGGGCTGCTATGGCCACTGCCTTATAATTCCCCCTTTCCGTCTTCCCCTCTGCTGTTCCCCTGTCGTTTGTGTCTTGCAGTCGACAGATATCCTCTATTTTGATACGCTCGACATCCCGCTGCCAGAACTGCAGCAGCTCAAGACTCTCAACATCACGTTCCACAATAGCAAGGCAGAAGATGTGAGGGGAGGGAGGTGAGGGGGAAAGAAGAAAGCTGTGGGTGGTGAGAGCATGGCGGATTAGGTGAGAGCAAGTTGTGTGGGTGGTGAGAAAGGTATGCGCGTGTTTGTGTCAATGGGAGCTGCAGCAAAGCCTTAACGTCACATTCCACAATAGCAAGGTGAAGGCGGTGTGGGGATAGATGTGAGCTGATAAATAGGTGCATGCATTTTGTTCTTGTAGATTTGCACCCGCTTATCAAACCTGCTCCTGGTGATGTCTCACCCATGAGTGTTCTTTTTTGGTTCGTGGTGCTCTTTGCTGCAAGAAACAGGTTCGAGATGAATACACAATGGATCTTGTTATTTTGAGGTTTGATAATTGTCTAATCAAACCAAACCGGTTCGTACTGAGCAAAGAAAGAGTTGGAGTTTGGAACCAGCTCTAACGTTTTGGTATTTCAATCAACTGAGAATGCAATCGCGGAGTTGGCCGCATAGTCCTGCCCGATTTGTTTCGAATCGGAAACGGGGTTTGACGTGGCTAGAGATAAATAACACAGTGAAATTGCCCGAACCGTCGAACTGGTTCGACATGAAACAGGTTTGGTCCGTTTCGAACCAGATGCCAAACAAATTGTGTTCGGCTCTGTTTGCATCGAATTGTACTGCGGTTGGATCTTTTCTCAAGCCTAATTCTGAGTATTGTCCATGCTTCATTCATGACCTGCCTTCTGCACAATCATTTTTGTGAATCATGACCTGCCTCCTCTTCCTAGGTGTCGGTGCACAACATTGGGATGCCCAAGAAATCTACGGTGGCAGGTGCTTGCGGACCTAAAGACCAAGGTAATGGAAGGTGGAGATGCTTGCGTTTCAGTCAGTACCCTCAAGCAGGGTGTTTCAATTTTCGAAGCAGACCTCAAATTTCTTTGAAATTTCTTAACCCGCCCTTCCAAGCAGAAGACACATTCTCCCCCTGTCCCACCTCTTTGTGAAGTTCTTGAGTTGAAATCGGACCTCACACACACCCCACACTGCGTGCAAACCTCAAAACTGATGCATCCATGTAGTGCAAGGAGCTGTGTGAGAGTCTGATTATGCTAACGTTGTGCAGGTTTGCTTCCAGTGCATCTGCAACCGAATCTTTCATATCTCCCCTACACTCGACACCAACCTTGCCCCCCTGTACCCCTCCGTACCCCTCTGTCCCAGTCATTCTATTCCTGTTCAGGGTGGAACTGTGGCATCCTAAGGCGAATTTTCGGATGCTGCAGGTGTTCATCAACAAGATCTTCCCTACACTCTATACCAACCTTTCTGCCCTGCCCCTCCGTACCCCTCTGTCCCTGTCTGTACCATTTTGTATCCCTGTTAAAGGTGGACCTGTGACACCCTAAAGCAGAGTTGCGGATGCTGCAGTTGCTCTACAAAAGGAACTACAAGATCTTTCTCGCTACCATACCAACCCTGCTGCACTGTTCCTATCTGTACATTACCCCTCTGTACTGCTGTGTACCGTTTGCACCTTCTCTTTCAGGTGGAGCTGTCACACCCCAAGGCGGAGCTACGTTTGCTGCAGGTGTTCTTCAACAAGATCTACAAGATCTTTCCTCTTACTGAGCAGATTGAGTACATCAACGACCAGTACTGGGGCATAAGGGCAGAGGAGGTGAGAAGAGGTAGCAAAAATGGAAAGGATAATTCAATCCACGTGTACATCAACATTGCGCCCAATCACCCCCAACAACTCGTGACCAACAACACCACGTCCCCCACCCCCCAACCAATTCGTGGTAAGTATAATTGACCCCACCTCTACACATTTCTCATCCAGTTGTCATCCCTGTTCTCTGTTGAGCTATGTCTACTCCAGTCCCATCTCCCGGCACTCAGCCTTCTGGTCCGTCTACTCAGCCTACTGATCCGTCAGCCTCGACTCCGGAGGCGCAATGGCTAGAGGAGGATAGTGTACATGTCGTTTTCAAGCACTTCAAGGTTCCCATCCGCCCGTACGCCGTCGGGGCTGTCCGCGTTTACAAGTATTGCGCCATCGAGTTCAAGGGTGGTGCGTTTCGATGCGCTCAGCATCTCGCAAAATGGAAGGGACAGAGATCTCGCGACGTCCGCCGGTGCGGGAAGGTTCCGCCGGACGTGCGAGCGGCGGTGCGCGCGCATTACGAGAAGAAGGCATCCAACCGCGATGGAAAAAGGCGGGCCGAGGATGCTGCGCTCGACGCTGTGTGGGAGGTGCGAAGAAAGGCCGCATCACCGACTTCATTGGCGACGAGGCGAAATGCAAGAAGGGGCAAGGCGGACAACTCCGTCTGCTTGTTCTTTGCCGGCTGTCGCATTCCCGAACACCACGCCGACAACCCGTTGTGGCGCAACATGGGCAGGGCCATTAACAACGCACCTCACGGTTATGTCGCGCCGCGGCAAAAACTACGTGGGAGGAGCTGGGCTGAAGCAATGCCGCACGGGCATCGAGAAGGGGCTTCAGCCATCGCCGCGAGTTGGAAGAAGGATGGCGTCACCGTCTCCTCCGACCTGATGACCGATCGGTGCGGGAGGCCGCAGGCGAACGTCATGCTGGTCAACAATTCGGGAGCGGTGTTTGTCGAGGCTATCAACTGCAATATGGAGTCAAAAACCAGCGACTACATCGCGTCCCTCTTCTGCCCCATCATCGAGAAAGTGGGGCCCGAAAACGTAGCCGCCCTTTGCATGGACGGGGGCTCCAACTACGGGGCCGCCTGCATGTAGCTGATGGCGGATTGGCCGCACATTGAGTACGTGCCGTGCGCTACGCACGTGCTCGACCTCCATGCACGTGATGGAGGACGTGAGCAAAATCACGTGGTGCAAGGACATTGTGGATCGGTACGGGGACATGATCATCTACGTTCGCAACCACCATTTCAGCCGCAATTTGTGAAAGAAACTAGAACGAGAATGTTTTAACTAGGGCCTAGGCTTAGGAGCCTAGGCCCAACTAAGGTATCGAGTGGAATCGGGCCAAGGGGGGAGAGTCGAGAAAGTTGTAAAGGTGAAAAGTGAGGTTCACTATGGGTTGAAGGAACATATAGCATAGGAAACAAAAGGGTGCACCACCTAACAAAGTTTGCAATAACTACACTAACTACAGCTACAGGCAGTTACAAATATAAATAATATAAAGTCTGACACTCCCCCATAACTGCCTGCAGCAGAAGTTTGTGCAGAACACAACTTGCAGGGGTACACAAGCAACACAAGCAAGATAATAAACAAGCAACAGCAGGTACTGCAGGCGGGCTGACACTAACTGGTCACCCCCTCCATCACCTCACCCTCCTCCCTCCCCTCCCCCACACTGCTGCAGGAGCAGCAGAGAAGGGGGGGAGAGAGGAGAGGTGGAGGGACGGCTGCTGGTTGCCTCACACCCGCCACCCCGGTGCCAATCCCCCTTCTCCCCCACACCCTCACACCCTCCCCCCCAGCGGCAGCTGCAGCTGTGGGAACGAAAGGAGGAGGAGGGGAAGGGAAGGAAGCGACCCAAAGCTCCAACACCCGCCACCCCCATACCCTCCCCCCCACGGCTGCAGGGAAACAAAGGAGGAGGGGGTGGGCGGGTAGAAAGCCGCAGAGCGGCTACCATGTGTCGAGGCAGGTAGGTCAGGGGCGGCTGTAGTGAGAGCAGGTGCGGAAAGGCCCGTCGCTTGCCACGGGGCGCACGACGGGTAAGTTGAAGGTAAGTGCACCGTCGTGTGCCTCGGGGCGCACGACGAGCAGGGCACCGTCGCGTGCCAGAGGCGAGACCGCGACAGCTCAGTGCACCGCCGCAGGCGCCTAAGGCGGGTCCGCGACCGCTTAGTGCATCGCCGCAGGCGCCAAAGGCGGGTCCGCGACGGTTAAGAGCACCACCACGGGCGCCAAAGGCGGGTCCGCGACGGCTAAGAGCGCCGTCGCAGGCGCCAGAGGCGGGTCCGCGACGGCTAAGGGCGCCATCGCAGGCGCCAAAGGCGGGTCCGTGACGGCTCAAGGCGCCGTCGCGGGCGCCAAAAGCAGGTCTGCGACGGGTAGAAAAGAAAAACGTCACGCGCCCGAGGCGCGTGACCAGAAATCCAGCAGCGGAAGCATTGGGCAGGCCCACAGGCCAGGACGAAACTGCTCTGATACCATGTGAAAGAAACTAGAACGAGAATGTTTTAACTAGGGCCTAGGCTTAGGAGCCTAGGCCCAACTAAGGTATCGAGTGGAATCGGGCCAAGGGGGGAGAGTCGAGAAAGTTGTAAAGGTGAAAAGTGAGGTTCACTATAGGTTGAAGGAACATATAGCATAGGAAACAAAAGGGTGCACCACCTAACAAAGTTTGCAATAACTACACTAACTACAGCTACAGGTAGTTACAAATATAAATAATATATCAAGTCTGACACAATTACCTGAGGAGTGGGGCGGTGAAGGGAGGAAAGAGGAAGCAACTTGTGAAATCGGTGCTGACCAGGTTCGGCACCAACTATATCGCCCTCTCCAGGCTCGTCCAGCTGCAATCCACATTGTTGTAGATGGTGCTGAGCGAGGAGTATGCCAACTGGTTAGCGGGGACTAGGAAGCTGACGGCAGATACCTTCCGCGGCTACGTCATGGACGACGAATGGTGGAAGAATGGAAGAGTGCTACCTACCTGGTGGAGCTCTTGGCGATTTCGTTCAAGGTGATGCGGGCCACTGACAACAGCTCGAAAGGCATGATTCGAATCATCTACGACCTTATGCTCCAGCTGACCGAGGACGTGAACGCCAAGCTGGAAGCGGGGGAGAAGATTTTGCCGCGGGCGGTTGCGGCTGATATTGGGAAAATTGCTAGGCGCCGTTGGGACGAGAGCCTTGCTTGCGCGCTTCACCTCGTGGAGCGGATCCTGAACCAGTCAAATCAGGAAGAGGGTATATTTCGCAACGACGTGGAATGTACCCGCATCTTCAAGGCGTTCATCGCACGTCACTATGACGGCAAGACCTTCACCAACAAAGACAGTGAGGAGAAACGGGCCTCTCTTGTTTCGCAAGAGGGGCTCACGGCCTTCCTCACCCTTGAAGTCTCCTTCGGCCTCCCTGAGGCAATTCCCGACAGGGAGGCCGTGAAGGCAGGCAAACACTCGATGGTGCAGTGGTGGGGATGGGATGGGACTGACCACCCCCACCTGGCCAGCCTTGCGTGCCGTGCCCTGACACAGCCAATGTCGGCCTCGCCATGTGAGCGCGGGTGGGCATAAGCAACAACATGTAAGCTTGTGTATCTAAGCTTCTGTAGTTGGGGACCGGCCAAGGCAACCCCTACCACTTCTACTCCTATGCACATTCCACCTTCCCCATTTGTCTTCGCCCGCCCCCCGCCAGGTGTTCGACGATGGCTCCACCTTTCACCCATCAGGCCTCGTCATGTCAGAGGACGATCTGCTGGGCCACTTCGCCTCCCCACTGCCCCTCCTCTGCACCTCAACCCGGAACCCTAAACCCCGTTGTAATCCTACGTATCCCCTTTTCTCTTCCTCCCATGTGTTTGACGACGGGTCCACCTTCCACCCCTCAGTCCTGGACATGTCAGAGGACGATCTGCTGGGCCACTTCACCACACTCCACCCCTTTGCACCCTGCTGAACTTGAAACCTTTCTGTACCCCTGTGTATCTCCTTGTACCCCTCTGTTTCTTGCCAGGTGTTTGACGATGGGTCCAACTTCCACCCCTCGGTCCTGGACATGCCAGAGGACGATCTGCTTGGCCACTTGGCCTCCACCTTCAACCCAACCCTTAACCCTAATGTATCCCTACGTATCCCTCTTAACCACCTTCAGGTGTTTGACGACGGCTCTACCTTCCACCCGTCAGTCCTGGACATGTCAGAGGACGATCTGCTCGGCCACTTCGCATCCGGTGTGGCCAACGTGGCCGCCATCTCCCTCAGTGCCGACTACCCCACGCTCGCCGCCGTGCCGCACGTGTTTGCCAACTCGTACAAGAACGTCATTGCTGTTGCGCTTGCTCTGGATGATTATACCTTCCCCCTGGCCGACAAGGTCAAGGAAATCCTCGCGGTGAGTCCTTCCCACCTCCTTTCTCTCCGAGTGAGTGTTGCCTTGCACATCAGCCGTGTGCCCCCTGCTTGTCCCCACGCTCGCCGCCGTGCCGCACGTGTTTGCCAACTCGTACAAGAACGTCATCGCTGTTGCTCTCGCCCTTGATGATTACACCTTCCCTCTGGCCGACAAGGTCAAGGAGATCTGTGCGGCAAGTCCATTCCCCCTCTCACGCTTCCCCCCTCGCTATCATGGCCCCTCCTTTCTGTGGCACTTGTCCGTTTTTTCTATCAATGGCTTCTGTGTTTCCTTGCCCATTTTCCTATCAATGCTTTCTTTAATCACTTGTCTCCGCCCCATCATGCTTCTCCTGATCCTTACCCAAACCCGCTTTCCAGGATCCTTCCAAGTTCATGGTGGCAGCTGTGGCGGCGGCGCCGGCAGCGGCAGCTGAGTCGGCCAAGGAGGAGGCCAAGCCGGCAGAGGAGGAGGAGTCTGACGACGACATGGGCTTCAGCCTCTTCGACAAGATGCACTGCTCTGCTCGGCTTTCGCAGGCTTCAGCCTCTTTGACTAGATGCGCTGCCGAACAAGGAGAATCGTAGTGATGCAAGAATGAAAGGGAAGGAATGGGATGGGACACACAAGGAATGGGACACAATTTCTACACATTTGGCGAAATAATATGATAGATTGATTTTTGCAATGGCGTTGACAGAATTCCGTCACAACACGAGTCGGTGAAGCAGGGTTGTAAATGTGCAAATGTGGCAACTTCAACGCTTTTGCTGTTCTATGCACAATCGGTGATGCTAGTTATCACAAAAAAATGTAGGAGTAGAACAAGGGTTTTTTTTGCTACAAAATTCTCTAAAAAGGAAGGTCCAAGCAAGCACGCCGGCAGGAGCAGCACGCGGGCAGGTGCGGGCGGCGCTAGAGGGTGGCTCGCGGCCCGCGCGGGTAGGAAGTAGGCCGCGCGCGGGCGGGGCTGGTTGCCAGCAGGCGGTGGCGCGGGCTGCGCGGTGGCGAGCGGGCTGGCGCGAGCTGCGCGGGCAGTAAGTATAGTGGCGCGGGCTGCGTGGGCAGCGAGCAGGCCGCGCGGGCAGCAGGCACGCCGCGCAGGCCGCCAGCAGGCCGTTCGCGGGCTGGGGCGGGCGGTTCGCAGGCTGGCGCGGGCTGGCGCTGGCTGGCGCGGGCTGCGCGCGGTGCTAGCGGGCTGCGCGCGGCGCTGACGGGCTGCGCGCGGGGTCCTAGCGGGCTACTCGCGAGGTCCTAGCAAGAGGTTCGCGGGTCGCGCGGGCTGCAGCAGCAGCAAAAAAAAGGAAGGCCACGCGTGGGCAGCGGGCCACACACGGGCAGGAAAGTAGGTGGGGTAATGCGGTAACAAGGTGGGCCCAAAATTCTAGGTCTTAAGGACCTCCTACTCTACAGTGCCCACTACAGTACCTGCAGCAGTTCTTATTACATAACATGGTACAGTCTCTTCTGTTCCAACGCCGACACCACCAGGTTCGAATCCTACTCCCGCCAGTTTGAAGCTGGGAACCTCATGAGGACAGCAGGGCAAGGAGCAGCAGAGGCATCATTACCACTGGCACCCGAAGCAGCAGCAGGACCACTGGTTAGTAGAATGTGGAGGAAGTCAACCGTAAGAAGTTCCTTTTACAAAAAGAGCCTGCTGGAAGTCAGCATGTATCAGTGCCTGTTCGTCTGCACCTGCTCGTAGTACAGCTGATGCTGATGCAGATGCTGCTGCTGGTTCACCTTCTACAGCTAATTCCTCGCCCCTTCTTCATCCTCGTCACCACTCGCCCCTCCTCTGCTCGCACTTGCCCCTCCTCTACTCCCAATCTCCCACTACCCCCTTCTCCCTTCCTCTGACACCAATCTGTCACTACCAAGTCCAATAGCCATCTGCTGCCTCTCTGCCTGCCTCCCTTCCTGCTGCCTTATTTGCTTCTACTTTCCCTTCCGTAACACTCAGCTGATCAAGGGACGAGAGCTGTTGCTCCTGCTGTCCACTAGCTTGCTACACCTGCTTCCGTTGCCGGAGCTGCAGAAAGTGGCTCAATAATAACTTCTTAACTTGCCTCTTCACTCCCTGCTGCGACAAAAAAGAAGCCACACTACTCCGTTTATGGGAAGGAATACTGCTGCACTTGTTTCTTTGCCCTTGGTTAGTAGTCCCCTGCTACTACCTTCCTTCTTGATTCACCAAATGCTGCTGCTGCGCCTCGTCCTCATGCCACTGCTCCTGGTGGTGCTGCCTTCTCTGCCGCCGCCACCGCAGCCGCCGACGGTCAGAAATCATGCTGCTGAGACGGCTCGTGCCAGTGCACAAGGGCGAAAGGGGCAGACGGGGCAGGGATACACGGGGCAGATGGGGCACATGGGGCACATGGGGCAGAAGGGACAGACGGGGCAGATGGGGCAGAAGGGGCAGAAGGGGCAGACAGGGCAGACGGGGCATACCCATTAGCGTGTGGCTCGGGCAATTGGGCATTACTGGCCTGGCACGCTGTCAGCCATTGGATCATTAACAGGCAGATTGGGTGGATGGAATGGGATAGATAAAAAAATATGAAAAAGCGACGGGGAATACAAAAATGCTGGGTGAAAAAAGATTGTAGGGTGTGTCACGCAACACCTCCTGTGCCACAGGGAGGAGGGCCTGTGGTGCCCATGGATTGCTGGAACGGGCTGTGAAGTCGGCTGAACGGCTTGTTGCATGCCATGCCATGACTGTCAGGAGGCACAGCACATGTGACAAGTCGCTGGATGGTGGTGGTGGTACCACTGAAACACGGTAACGATGTGGTTGTGGTGCATCCGACTAAGGGAAAATGAATGACAAGCGCCTGCCGAGGCTGCTTCCCCAAATGCTGTTGGTTCCACGTGCTGCTGCTGCTTCACCGATGGCAGTTGGATAGAGCATGGAGAGTGTTGCTGTGATGGGAGGAGGTGCGGGGTAGGGGGACGTGCGATAGGGGGAGGTGCGATAGGGAAGGTCCAGCAGGGGGAGTTTCGAGAGGAGACGAGATGCGAGAGGGAAGGTGCGAGCACCAGGTTCCAAACTCACTGTGTGCCGCCTGGCGCCAACACTGCTGGCTTGCCACTTCGACAGGTACTTGCTTCATCAGGTGCCGCAATGGATACTCCTTTCCCGAGCTCACACATCCAGCTCCCCCTCGCATTCCCTTCTCCCAAAATCCATCCTCACCCCCCTCCCTGTCCCTCCTCCACCCCAGCGGAAGAAAGTGACTTCGCGGAGGTGTGATTGAAGCGAAGGGCGCGGAAGTGCGGGTGGGAGGCGGTGGAGAGGTGGAGCATGAGCCAGGGCATTATAACGAGGGAAAAGAACATGACAGCACATGCGCTCCAAGCAGCCGCCACCACCACCAGCACCAGCAGCACCACCACCGCCGCCTGAGGTAACCCTTCCTGTAGCTTACTCACCCAGTGCTTGCGTGCTTGTAACGCAGCTACAGCTGCAGCAGCGCCTGCGGATGTGACTGTACCGAATGGGTTCTTCTTCCCATTCGCGGCTGCTGCTTGCGTGTTGGTGCTTCGGTTTGGGCTGCTCCCTGCTGCCCATCCTGTCGGGAAATTCGCAGACGGAAATGTACTGTAGCCGACTGACCCAATTCTGACACTATACCGAGATCTGATCTTATTCCGAGTTCGGATCTTGTAGCGAAGAATCCCGGGCGACGGATAGCCAGGGCTGGGGCGACGGCGGTGCTGCTTCCTTGTGGAGCGATGTGAGGCTGGGGGAGGCTGTGCGCGGGCGAATGGTTCAACACGGGTGTTGCCGACGACCACGCTGATTCTAATTCTTATTTTGACACTGGCACTACTGCAGATTTATTCTGACGCTGTCGAGGGGAATCCATTTTCTGATGAAACCCTCGCGGGCATGCCGTTGCGGGTGTCGCGGCTGACCCATGTGATGCCGCTGCTGCTCTGCTTGGTGACTCCCTTAATGATATCGCCGTTGAACTGTCGGCCGACTTGGAAATTCCGACGCTGGAAACTGAGTGCCTGGCTCAGTAGAAATATCAGTTGCTGCTGATGCGGTTCCTCGTTCCATCGATAAAGGTTATCCTAGTTGCACAAAATTCAGTCCTCAGGATTTTAGGTGCATCGGGATCTTTCCTGAGTGAATAAGCGGCTGCTTTCTTCCCCATCCCGCCACCGTTAGTGTGGTGCTTGAGACACACCTGACTTCATCATCCGCGATTCATCAGTTGCCGCTTTTCACGCTAGTCGTTTCTCAGAAACACAGGCAGGTTTCTTTTATACATGGACCTTGTTCAGAGCGGCACCTGCCAAAATGAGGACTAAGTTGCAGTCTTCGTCGTGGCTGTTCAGCGGCGGTGTTGGTAACAAAGTATCTACGTGTGTCGGGTCTCACAAATACCGCTTCGAACCACTTCAAAGCAGACTTTCAACCGTGTGGTACCTTACTGAAATGGGGGAGTTAACACTTACTAAACGACAGCCCCTATCTTTGTGTCATTGAAAGTTCAAGTCAGGATTGCACGTTCGGTGCTTGTGAATACTCCCTCTCTGAACGAGGTGATGGCAGCCGTGTGATGCGTTGTTTTCCACCACAAGTTTATCTGGTGCGGTACGTTTCAGAACGGTAATGAACGTTATAGACAAAAGGGCTTGCGAGAACCAACTCAAATGCCTCTATACCTGCCTCGATTCCTAATCTTCTGTTGTTAGCGTGACGGCTGTTCCGGTAATTAGCCAACGTAGTCGAGCTGATAATGGCGACGGCGACAGCAAGGCTTTTGGAGGAGATTGTGAGCGTAGGGACGATACTAGCCGTTAGATTTGACGATGCAAGGAGGGAGTTGGAAGTGGAACACCGGCAGAAAAGCGAAGTTACGGAAAGTCCGATGCTGACTAATAGATAGGAGAGTTTAGAGAAGCTTTTGAATGAGATGAGGGAGGAGAATATAAGCAACATAAGTGGACTTAAGAATGAGCTAGTAGCTGAGAGGGCTGCGAAAGAGGAAAAGGAGAAGGAAGTTGCTGCACTGTCGACGCGACTCTCCCAGGCAGAGTCATTGATTTTGCATCAAAAGGAGGAAACCTGCAAGCTTTGGGAGGTGAGCGAATAAGATTCTCAAATTATGTAGCCGAAACGTGAATAATGTGCTGCCTAGTAATCATCCCAGCTCTAGCCTTTTCTTACAAAACGTCAATTTCAGGCCATTTCTCAAGATTCTTGTCAGTCAACAACTGGTACAGACGTTCAGAATGAAACAAGGGTTACAATGAAGGAGATGGGAGAATTTGTCACTTCATTGGTAGCAAATAATAAGGAGGATTGGGTGCAGCAAAAAGAGGAAACGAGAAGAATCTGGGAGGTGAGAGGCTGTCCTGTCGGTGTTTCACATTGTATGCAATTTCATCCGTTTGCCATGACTAACTCGTAAGGGCATTGTGATGTCAGGCAATTTTTGTGGCTTCGCAACAACGACCGACCATTGCAGATGGGAAGTACGTGCGAGCTCATGAAGACGCGGCGGTAGTGGAGCTGACCAGCAACGATGGGCCAATAACTGATCTTGGATTTCTTCGTCTTCCTTCC